CTTAGCATTCAGAGTTTTTGTTGGGGTTTCATTATGTAGGCATGATTGACTGCCCTCTAGCTTGATCTCAGTCTCTAGCTCCTCTGGGTGGGTTTTTCTGAAGTGACTAGCCCCCATGCTAAATCAGATTTTTACTATCTAGAAAACAATCTATTAGAAAAAGAAATCAAGAGAAGAATCCCATGTATGATAGCATCAAAAATAATAAAATTCTTAGGAATAAAGTTAACCAAGGAGGTAAAAAAAATGTGTATGCTGAAAACTATAAAACATTGATGGAAAAAATTGAAGACACAAATCAGTGAAAAAATATCCTTTGTTTATATATAGATTGGAAAAATCAATACAGCTAAAATGTCCATACTGCCCACAACAATATACAGATTCAATATAACTCCTACCAAAATTCCAATGGCATTTTTCACAGAATAGAAAAAACAATTCTAAAATTCATATGGAAACGCAAAAGGTCCAGAACAGCTAAAGCAATTTTGAGAAAGAAGAACAAAATTAGAGGGATAATATTTCATGATTTGAAATTATATTTCAAAGCTGTGGTAATCAAAATAGTATGGTACCAGCATAAAAACAGACACATAGGCCACTGGAGAAGAATAGAGAACCCAGAAATCAACTCATGCATATAAATAAGGTCAACTCATCTTTGACAAGGATGCCAAGAGCATGCAATGGGAAAAGGACAGTCTCTTCAATAAGTGGTATTAGGAAAACTGAATACCCACATACAAAAGAATGAAATTGAACCCTTATCTTACACTATATACAGAAATCCACTTAAAATAAAGATGTAAACATAAGACCTGAAACTAAAACTTCTAGAAGAAAACATGGGAAAATCTTCTTGACATTGTTCTGTACAATTGTTTTTTAGATATTACACTGAAAGTCTAGGCAACAAAAGCAAAAATAAACTTATGGAACTGTATCAAATGAAAAAGCTTCTGCACAGTAAAGGAAACAGCAAAATGAAAAGACAACCTACAGACTGGGATAAAATATTTGCCAACCATATACCTGATAAAGAAGGGTTAATATCTAAAATGTTTGTGAGACTCACAGCTCAATGGCAAATAAACAAAAATAAAAAACAAAACAAAACAACCTCAATTTTAAAGTGGACAAAGGACCTGAATAGACCTTTCTCTAAAGAAGACATACAGATGGTCAACAGGTATATGAAATGATGGCCAGCATCCCTAATCACCAGGGAAATGCAAATTAAAACCAAAATTGAGATGTTACCTCACACCTGTTACAATAGCTATGATTAAAAAAAGACAGTAGATAACAAGCATTGATATGGGTATTGAGAAAAAAGGACCCTTGTACATCTCTTGGTGGGAATGTAAATTGGCACAGCCACACTGGAAAACAGTATGGAAGTTCCTCAAAAATTAAAAATAGAACTATTATGTGATCCAGGAATTTCTCTTTAGAGTATATTATACCCAAAGGAAATAAAGTCAGTACCTTGAAGAGATATCTGTGTTCCCATGCTCATTGCAGTCTTAGTCGCAATAACCAAGACATGGAAACAACCTTTAAGTGTCTGTCAACAGGTGACTGGATGAAAACATGATCTACACACACACTGAAATATTGTTCAGTGTTAAAGAAGGTGATCCTGTCATTTGCGGCAATGTGGATGAACTTAGAGGACATTATATGTTAAGTTAAATGTGCAAAACACAAAGACAAGTGCTTATGATCTCACTCACAGTATGGAACCTTAAAAATGTTGAATACAGGCTGGGCTCGGTGGCTCAGCCTGTAATCCCGCGCTTTGGGAGGCCGAGGTGAGCGAATTGCCTGAGCCCGCGGGTTCAAGACCCGCCTGGGCAACTTGGCAAGACCTCATCTCTACAATAAATCAAAAAATTAGCTGAGCGTGGTAGCGCACACCTGTAGTTCCAGCTACTTGGAAGGCTGAGGCGGAAGGATCACCAGAGCCCAGCAGGTCGAGGCTGCAGTAGCTGGGAGCAGCCACTGCACTCCAGTCTGGGCGACTGAGTGAGACTCCAACTCAAAAAAAAAAAAAATGTTGACTACATAAAGGCAGAGAGTAAAAGAGTGGTTGCCATTGGGTGGAGAAGATGAAGAGATGTTGGTCAAAGTGTGTGGACTTAAGCTATTATAAGAGGAATAAGTTCTGGATATCTAACATACAGCATGGCAACTATAATGTATTGAATGTTCAAAATATGCTATGAGTAGATCTTACGTATTCTCACCACACACACACACACAAAGGAACTAACTATGTGAGGTGATGAATATGTTACTTAGCTTGATTATAGTAATCATTTCATAATGTATATATATATCAGAACATCACATTGTACACCTCGAATATATACAATTGTGCCTCAAAGCAGAAAAAAAATAGAAACAAAAGCTTGGAGTTCTGAAATGTTACTAAGAGATGGGAAGTATGTGCCTTCTTTCAGTAGTCTTGCTGCATGCTGGGTAGGTCCTTTCAAGTCTTTCTTAGTGTGAAGATATTTTCTTCTGTTAGTCCCTTGATTAAGGATTCTTCTCTTTCTGCAGTGGTGTCTCCTGCAACTGGTAATAAGTGCCTAAATCAGTACCAGGCACATAATAAGCACTTGTTAAATATCTGTTGATTATATAAGTTAATCCTGGATTTGTTTTATCAGTTTTCCATGTATTTTGCATCTTCTTTCATAATTTACAACCTAGAAATTTTGCTGTTTACTGAGAGAATTTTTTTGGTTGTTCCCACAGAAGGTGCTTGTGGCCATTTATATTCTACTATTTGTAATGTTTTAATTATGCCAATCTTTTTATTAAAATATATTTTTGGAATATTGTCTCATATTATCTAATTTTTCCTTTTTCCTGTGCCCTAACTTGTGACTTTGTTTTAAATCTGTGCAATGATGTCTTGTATCTGAAGATATTTATTAGAAAGTTGTTACCATTATTCTGTCTTGTCTCCTATAGTAACTGATCCATTAAGGTCTTGTTTGCTATGATTACTTAGCATAGTTAGTCTCTTCCCTGCCTCCCCACCCTCACCCTCGCTATTTTTTTTGAGACAGGTCCTCACTCTGTTACTCAGGCTGAAGTGCATGCAGTGCAGTGACATGATCATAGCTCATTGCAGCCTTGAACTCCTGGGCTTAAGCTATCCTCCTGTTTCAGCCTCCTGAGTAGCTGGGACTACAGTTACACACCACCACACCCAGCTATTTCTTTTTTTTTCTCTTTGTTTTGTAGTGACAGAGTCTCACTGTGTTGCCCAGGCTGGTCTCAAACTCCTGGCCTGAAGTAATCCTTCCATCTTAGCTTCCCAAAGTGCCGTGATTACAGGCAGGCTTGAGCCACTGCACCTGGCCTTGTCTCCTCCTGTTTAACCACTGATTCTTCTCATATGTCCTAGTCATGCAGGTATTCTGTTCAATGTGTGTATTTAGGGATAACGTAATCAGTTTTGACCTGTGTCTTCACATAGTATCCTGTGCACTGTGCATTAAATTAAGTCCAAGGGTTGATGCCCCTGTCAACTGTTCTACTGCAGAGAGTTTGTGAAGAATGTGGCTGGAGGTGAATGTATGGTTAAGGGAGTTGATTTTTTTTTTTTTAAACCAATTTGTATCAACCATAAGCATACAACTTGTATTTTCACAAAGTAAACACACCTGTGGAACCAGTACTCAGATTAAGAATTAGAGTTTGACCAGCACCCCAAAAGCCCCCTTCTGCCCTCTTCTAGTCACTACTCTCCTCCAAGGATGACCACTGTCTTGACTTCTTCCCATAAATAAAATATAGCAGGTACTGTATTTATGTCAAGTTTCTTTTGCCCAAAATGGTGTTTGTGAAATTCATCTGGGATGTATAGCTTGTTAAATTGTGAATTGTCATTGCTGTATCATATTCCATGATATGACTCTTCCATAATTTATGATTGCATTGTACACTTGATGAGCATTTGGGTAGCTTCCAGTTTGAGGTAGGAAAAGATATTTCTGTTTATATGCTATTAGAACATTTTTGTGTATGTCTTTTGGTGAACATATACTTATATCTATTAGGTATATACCTAAGAGTGGAATTGCTGTGTTATTAGGGAGTTTTGTTGTTTGTTTTCTGTTTTAAACAGTTTATGTCCTGGTGTAAATGGTTCATTAGATATTAAGAAATTGATGATACAAAAGAAAATAAATAGCTGATATAATGATGTCCTATGGGTTTAGGCCTTCACACAAGTAAATACATATTTTGCTATGGAAATCAAACAGGTTTTTATGACTCAAAGTCCCAGAATTATACTGGGCAGAATAGGTGAATGTGCTTACAGCCATTTGGCTTAGAAGGAGCCTTTCAGCCAGGCTCGGTGGCTCAGCCTGTATTCCTGCGCCTTTGGGAGGCTGAGGTGAGTGGATTGCCTGAGCTTGCAGGTTCGATACCCGCCTGGGCAGGCGAGACCTCATCTCTACAATAAATCAAAAAATTAGCCGGGCGTGGTAGCACGCACCTGTAATTCCAGCTACTCGGAAGGCTGAGGCGGAAGGATCGCCGGAGCCCAGCAGGTCGAGGCTGCGGTGGCCGGGAGTGCCCACTGCACTCCAGTCTGGGCGACAGAGTGAGACTCCAACTCAAAAAAATAAAAAAGAAGGAGCCTTTCGTATTGGAAGTACAGAGAGAAAAATGTGTTTGCACTAGCAGAAAGAAACACTTCTGGTGCTCATCATCAAGTGCATTGCCACATTGGAGAAGAAAAAAGAGGAAAGCCTTTCCAGTGGGGCTCTTACTGCTTATGATAGGACTGGCAGAGTCCTGCTTTGGGGAACTAGTGAGTATTAATGGCCAGTCTGTACTTGTAAAGAGAGGAAAGAGGTAAAGAACACTGAAATTTAAACAGAACTAGTGAAAATAAAATGTTTGCAGGGTACTACTACAAATCATTCATGTAGTCAGTGCCAGGGATTAAACAATTCATGTTTTTTTCCTAGTCTGTCACCTTTAAAACTACTAGCAGAAATCTTGCACGAGCCATGTGTATGAAGAATCTCAAGCTCACTATCATCATCATCATTGTATCAATTGTAAGTTTTTGTCCTTTTAGTGTATGATTTTATTTTTCAATCTCTGAGAAATCAGATGCTAGAATCTTTATCAATAATTAACACTCTGAAATGAGTTACATATATCTTTCAATAGTGAAACACATGACCAGGCAGTGACTTTCCTATGAAGTCACTATGAAATATTATCTCTACTTAAATCCTTTCTCCCTTTTGAGAATTATATGTAAGGAGACATATAAAACTGACCTCATATAACTATAGTATTTTTTAGTATAAAGATTTGTTCTAGAAATATAGTTATTTTTAATAAAGATATTTCTGTTTATATGTAATAGGCTCATTGTTATTTTTAAATTATGTGTTTTTAAAATTTTAATTTCTAATATAGTAAGTATTGATTGTTATAATCTTCCTTAACAGAGCCCTTTGGAGTTCTCAGTAATTTCTAAGAGGATAAAGAAGTTTTGAACCAAACGTTTAAGACCTACTATAAAGTTGGCGGGTGCCTTTACCCTGGGGTAGTTCATGGCTAGATAAAACTACCTTTCTTCCCTATCTTCCATTCATTTGCAGAAGCTCAAATTATCTCTAAGCAGATATCTCTGGCACTGCTCTATTTCTCCTGGACCACAGCTTGAGGGTCCTCCACCTCAGACAGCTGGATTTATCTAACAAAGAAGAGCAGTCACAGATCTATAGATTTTATCTTGAATGTTGTCTTGTTCAAGATTCACGCTCTAAAATAGTACATTTTAGGCTCCTTAGGTTAGCTTCTTCCTTATTCGTTGGTCTGAAAATTTAGATTGATTTGTGCAACTGAATTTTTGTTAAGTTCAGAATATATGTATTAATTACTTATTACGTGCAGAGCACTGCTCTAAATGTGATACCAATCTTTGCCAGGAAGCGTTGTTACGTAACATATCGTAAAAATTGTTATATTAGAGCAGCAACAAATAGTCAACTTTATATCAAGTTGGTAAACTTTACATTTGTGGAATATGTATGTGTGAACATATGTGTATGTGTGAATAGGATGTCAGAAGTTCAACCTATTCTATAATAAACAGAATTTGCTGTAATTAATCCCCACCCCAGCAACATTTATAGGGAAGGATTGGAAAATGCTTTACTCACTTTTGGAGCAGGGGGCGTGCAATTCATAAATTTTTTTCCCCCAAGCATGTGAGTTATGAAATCAGTCGCTTAAAGATCTCAAAAACTTGTAATTTAAGGCAAAATAAAATGATTAATTCAGTGCGGTGAACCTAATGCTTAAAATGTATTTTTAGATTGTAATAATATTAACTAGTAGATTTACTATTAAATAGTAGATTTACTATTTTTGCAATATCATAATTTAAAATTACAGTACTAGAATTAAAAAGTCAACACATCTGTAATAGCACAAGCATTTTTGCAGTGTTACTTATATCATCTATTCTTTGATTTGGTAGTAAAAGTTATTGTGTCATTATCCACTGAATAGTTCACAGCAACATTCTTGCTCATAAATGATATAGACATAGAGTCTCTATCATGCTTTTTATATATTTTTATCATAATAGTGACAAGTTAAATTCATATGCAAAATCTACAATATAATTAATAAAATCATACTTCAAGGAAATTATGGTTATTTGTGATATTTATATCATGTTAATGATGTATCAGTAAGAATTACTCATATAACATTGATTCTGCCTAGTTACCATTGAAGAGCAACAACCCCACTGAAGAAAACATACTGGTATTCAAGTGGTTGAGAGTTATATCAGAAAGGATAGTTTTAACTCTACTTCTGCCTTTGAAAATATTGGATTAGTGTATTGCATCGTCACAGAACTGCTACTCTAATAGAACCAGAAGTATCTCATAATAAGGCTTTACTTTGTTACATATATTATTTTGGAGTATGTGATAGATTCAAGAAAATAAAATTCCCTTCCTCTTCCCTCCAGGTGTTCATCTATATTATTGTGTCACCTCTCTGTGGTGGATTTACATGGCCAAGCTGTGTGAAGAAATAAGAAAAAAAAGTTATAATTAACCAAGAATATGAGAGAACAAGGAGTAAAAAGCAATTCATGTGACTCAGCCTTTCACTACTGACAGATGGAGTCTGCCAGTCTCTTCAATCCTCTTCTTACCTTTTCTTTTTTAAAAATCTTGTTCTAAGCCTCCAGATTTATCTTTGTCCTATCAACCAATTTATTCCAGTGAACTTCAGATTTAACCATCATTGCAACAGTAGCCTTAAAAAGGCTTTTGTTTGTTTCTTTGGTTCGTTAACTAGTGTCATTTTTGTTTTTAATTGTACAAAGCTATTGCCAAGATGGAAACCACCAGTCTTATGAGTTGTCTACTAAAATTATGGAGAAACTTCCATGTGCACACAAAAGTATTCATGAAACAAATAGTACTGCTAACACCTCATCTTAATGTCTTTTGTTATTGAAAAGTTTTAGGTGCTTCAAAACAATATAAATGGAGAATAGTTATTTTGTGGATTGGTGGTGCTGCTTGTTTCTAGGAGCTCAGACAGGTAAAGTATGAAACATTCTTATATCAGTCAGATGGGAAACATTTTGCTAGCCTATTAGAAGCACACATAATTATCCTTGTCCTCCTAGTACTCACTGTGGAAATGAAGTTCAGTGTGCTAATCATTCACAATACAGTGGATAGCTTGATATCCTCTGTTTTCCCATTGCAGTTGATTGGAGAAGATGATGGTTTAAATATTGTTGTAAGTTGTGGTTTTTTATATATTCCCTTTTCTTTTGTGGATATTTAGGGCAATTTTATTGCTAATAGAATGGGTAGTGGAGGGGGTGGGGAAACAAATTCTTCTGACTCACCAAAGAAAAAGAAGAGAACCACAGTGGATGTGCTAGCATTTTAACTGTACAAATGGAGGTAGTGTGGGAAAATTTTTCCATTATGGGAAAAACCCAAACTGAATACAGTCAGCAGTCAACTCCAGGTTTTAGGTTTGACTCCTGTTGAATAATAGCTTAAACATCCTTTGTGGTTTAATAAATTCTTTAATCTGCCTAGTTTTGAAGAATTATTTTGTGAAACTTGAAAGAGAATAGACAATATGGTGTATAGAAATAATATAAAACAGTTTAATATCCATTTAACTGCAGTGTAAGAAAACTGGACTGTAATCATACTGCTTCAGCTACTCTGGCATTTGTTATCTAGTGTGTACTTTCGGTGTGTATCTGAAAGGAAGACATTTGCTGTCATAAATCTAATTGCATCTGTTTATCAGTAAGTGCCATTAAATGGAAATTATATTACATTTTACTCTTTCCCAATGAAAGAACAAATTCATCTATAGAACCTAGCCACCTGTTTAGCCTAGTCATGTGCCTTGAATATATGTGTCTCATAATCTAGCTCATGGTACTTGTACTTCCATCTAAACCATTCGTTTATGCTACCTTTTTAATTTATCTGACATGTGTCTTAGGCCCACTGAACTCTTTTCATGTTACTCTTGCATAGCACAAACATTTTTCCAGTCTTCTTTATCAACACTAATGCCTTGTAATTGCATCAGCATTTCCTATTGGGAAGTACATTTGTTCCAGAAAAACATTTGGCATTCCTAAATAATTTCCAAATGTTTTTAACACAAAGAAAAAGGCTTAAAGCTTATTTCCCTTTCTTGTACACACCTGAATAAAATTGATGTGCATGTTTTAGGAATGACCTAACTGTTCCTTCGTCTATTTATGTATAAGAATGCTTTTTAAAGCACATATCTCGTTTTAAATGGCACACAAACTGAAGACATTAATAAAATTTAAGAGTAATAAGAATTGCTTGTTTAGAAGTTGTTCCTGGAATCATTTCTTCTGATGACATTTTGCCAGTGTACAGAATAAAAATATTTTACTTATGCTGAAAATATATTAAGAAGTGTAGCCAGGCTCGGTAGCTCAGCCTGTAATCCCGCACCTTTGGGAGGCTGAGGTGAGTGGATTGCCTGAGCCCGCGGGTTCGAGACCCGCCTGGGCAGCGAGACCTCATCTCTACAATAAATAAAAAAATCAGCCGGGCATGGTAGCGCATGCCTGTAATTCCAGCTACTTGGAAGGCTGAGGCAGAAGGATCGCCGGAGTCCAGCAGGTTGAGGCTGCGGTGGCCGGGAGCGGCCACTGCACTCCAGTGTGGGTGACCGAGTGAGACTCCAACTCAAAAAAAAAAAAAGAAACCCATTTAAGTATTAATCACAAATAGGTTAAAAGTAAAAACAGCAGCCTTCCAAGTAGCTGGAACCATAGGCTCGTGCCACAAACACACACAAAAGTAAAAACAGGAAAATGTACCATGCAGGTATTAATCAAAAGAAACCTAGAGCAGCTATTATCATATCAGATGAAGCAGATTTCAGAGCAAATGATATTGCTGGGGATAAAGAAGATTGTTTCATAATGATAATTGGATAAATTAATCAAGTGTCAGGGTTTAAGGTTGGGGATTAGGGTTAGTGGTTTAGGGTCTAGGGATTAGGTTTCAGGTTCTCTCTCAAGTCCACATGGTGTGGGAAGAAAAAAACAAAATACCTCAGGCTTGGTGGTACCAGACTGGTTTCCAGTGTCCCTGTTAATCCAGTTTTTTAGTTTTCAAATTACTTACTCCATACATTCTGCCTGGATTTTATAGTTGCACTCCGTGGGACAGACACAGTAGAGTACTTTCTCCATCTTGCCTAGAACTGGAAACCCAGTACAAATTTGTTACTAGTGATACAATGAGGGATGAGTAACAAAAACCACAAACAATGGCCTTATCAAATATGTATTGCTGTATAATCATACCCCAAGAACTTAGTGGCATAAAACAATTACAATGTTTTATTCCCCATGTTTCAAGTGCAGGTTAGGGTTTGGGTTCAGCTTGAAGTTCTGTTTTAGAATTCTTGTTCACATTAGGGATTGGGTTAGGATTGGGGGTTGATGTTTGGGCTCATACTCAGATTGAAGGTTTGGGATTGGAATCAAGTTCAAGCTTAGGGTTGAGGTCATGGTCAGAATACGTTGGGTATAGGGTTAGTCGGGTTGCAGGCATGGGTTCAGGTTTAGGGGTTTGGGTGAGATCTAGTTCAAATTTGGGTTTGGGCTTAGAATTTGGGAGTTATGTTTCAGGTTCAGGCTCAATTTTAGAGTGTAGGAGTTTGGGTTCAGGTCTGGGTTTGGTTTTCAGTTCGAAATTTGGTTCATATTTATGGTTTGGGTTTAGAGTACAGTGTTTGGGTTGGGTTAATACGGATGTTGAGTTTGGGATTTGGGCTTAGTTTAAGGTTTGTTTTGGGCTCAGGCATGTACTCTGACTTGAGTTTGACTTTAAGGTTTATGAATTCATACTTAAGTTTTGGTTCAGGTTCAGAGTTTGGATTTTTATTGGGGTTTAGAATTTGAGGTTAGGGTAAAGGACAGAGTGGGAATGAGGTTTGGTCCTGAACTGGAGTTGGGACTGGGATTTCAAGTGGGGATTTGGGGTCTGCATTCAAACTCAGGTTCTGACTCCAGTTTACAATGGAGTCCTGACTAGAGCTCAGTTTGGGCTGAAGCTGAGGTTCTGGCTGAGGCTAAGGTTGGGTCAAGTGCTCAGGATGGAGTTAAGTGCAGGACAGTTCTCCAGATGACCTTGGACCATCCCAGTTTCCCCTCCTTTCTTGTAGTTCTCAAGAATAATTGTAGGGGACAGGCATGGTGGCTCACACATGTCATTCCAGCACTTTGGAAGGCCAAGATGGGATGATCACTGTGGCCTGGAGTTTTAGACCAGCCTGAGGGATATAGCAAGACCCTCATCTCTAAAATAATAATAATAATTATTGTAAAGTGAACTTGGAATGCAACACACTGAGATGAGGAGCTGACCAGAACAGCCTGGGCTCTGTTCCAGTGCCCCTCATCCAGAGCAGGATGTCCTAAGCTTTAGCCCAGTGTTCCTGTGCTCTCCAGGGTATAAAGCCTGGAGTAGACTTCTTTCCAGTGTGTTCCTCTCATGCATTCCATGGGAGAGACACAGAGTGTATTTTCCCATCTTGCATAGTAGAAGTGGAGCATGTGCAGACAAGACTTCATCTCCCCTGGGCAGTTAAGTGGTTTGGGTTCAAGGTTGAGGTTGAGTTCAAATTTATGATTTAGGGATTTCTGAGCCTCACAGAAGCCCCACGCTCCTCACATACTCCCACATCCACACCCATGACCAAAGCTCTGTCCAAGTCCCACCAAGGAGACGCTGCTGCAGACACAGGACACTTGGGGGCTGAGCCCAGAGCTCTGTCTTCCTCAGGTTTCATATGAAGACATGACTGTCAACACAGGGCACCTGGGACCCAGGTCCAGAGTTCCATCTTCCTCAGATCTCACTTAGGAGACACCACAGGACACCTGGGAGCTGTGTCCAGAGTGCCATCTTCTTCAGGACCACCTGAGAGATGCTGCTGTCCCTACAGAACACCTGGGGACCATGCCTAGAGCTCTGTCCTTCTCAGGATGCACCCAGGAGACTCTGTTGTCCCTACAGGACACCTGGGACTGTGTCCTGAGCTCTGTTTTCCCCGGGTTCCACCTGGGAGATGCCAATGTCTCTATAGGACATCTGGGTCATGCCCACAGCTCCATCTTCCTCAGAACACACCTGGGAGATACCACTGTCCCTACAGGACACCTGAGAGCCATGCCCAGAGCTTCATCCTCCCCGGGACACACCCGGGAGACCCTGCTGTCCCTACAGAACACCTAGAGACATGCCCAGAATTGTGTTATTCTCAGTTCCCACCTGGAAGATGTCACTGTTCTATAGGACATCTAGGGGCTGTGAGAAGGTGAGGAGAAGCTTCCTGTCCACCGAGTGCTAAGGAGGAGCTCCACTATGCACTTTACTTTCTCAGGTAATATTTTATTTTACAAGTGTCCCTTCTTTAAGAGCGTGATGTCCTGCTGAGGAATTGTTTACAGGTTAAGTTTTATGGGAAGAAATCTCGGTCCAGAAAAAGGAGAAACGAGAAACCCTGAGAGCAGCACTGGACATCGTGCAAAAGTCAGGGTGGGATGCCCTGGAGCAAGGGAATCAGCACCCTACATGCTTACTGCTGTTCAAGTTTCAGTGGCTTGTTTTCTTACAGTGTTAAAGTACTTGAAAAATACTGAAAAGTAGGTTATTAAAACTCACAACATTATTTTAAGTGTAAATGATACATTTTTGTCTGTTAAAAGAAGAATTTTGCTGGGCTCGGTGGCTCAGCCTGCAATCCCGCGCCTTTAGGAGGCTGAGTTGAGTGGATTGCCTGAGCCTGCGGGTTCGAGACCCACCTGGGCAGCGAGACCTCATCTCTACAGTAAAAAAAAAAAAAAAAAAAAAAATCAACTGGGCGTGGTAGCGCATGCCTGTAATTCTGGATACTTGGAAGGCTGAGGCGGAAGGATCGCCAGAGCCCAGCAGGTTGAGGCTGCGGTGGCCGGGAGCGGCCACTGCACTCCAGTCTAGGTGACAGAGTGAGACTCCAACTCAAAAAAAAAAAAAAAGAAGAAGAATTTTAGGCAAAATAAATATAAATAGAATTTATTTGAGCAAAATAATAATTTGGGAGGATCCGAGAGGGAAAATAAGTTCTGGGCTCCATGCAGTGAGCTTTTAGAATTGAAGCTGAGTAAAGAAATTGGCTACAACTGGGTGACTGCTAATTTGGGTGATGTTCCATGGGCATCACTAGTTATTCAGCAAATTGGTTGGCTCTTTGTGATTGACTGAAGTTGGTTTGTTCAAAAAAAATTTTTGGCTCAGTGGCTCAGACTGTAATCCCGCGCCTTTGGGAGGCTGAGGTGAGTGGATTGCCTGAGCCTGCAGGTTCGAGACCTGCCTGGGCAGTGAGATCTCATCTCTACAATAAATCAAAAAATCAGCCGGGCGTGGTAGCGCATGCCTGTAATTCCGCTACTTGGAAGGCTGAGGCAGAAGGATCGCTGGAGCCCAGCAAAAAAATTTTTTTAACTCACTAGAAATGCCTCCAAGTTAATTTTCTGTTTGCTTATAGAATACCTCAGGTTAATGAACTCCTTATTTGCCTTAACACATCAAAACCATAATTTATTTTCATTTTATTTTCCTGGCATTAACAGAAGTAAGCTCATAATGTTAATACACTCAAGCACCACTTGAGGACAGGGATACTTTCTGAGAAATGTATCATTAGACAATTTCATCGTTGTGTGAACATCATGGAGTGTACTCATGCAAACCTAAGTGGTATATACAGTCTACTATACACCAAGGTTATATAGTATAGCCTATTGCTCCTAGGTTACAGACCTGTGAAGCATATTACTATATTGAATACTGTGAGAAACTAACACAATGGCAATTATTTGTCTGTCTACACATATTTAAACAGGAAAGAATGAGCCACGAGGTTATGACAACAAGATGGCTAGGAAAGAATTTTTCAGCTGCATTATAATCTCATGGGACCACCATCATAAGTATACAGAGCATGAGTGTAAAATCATAATTAGTTAAAAGTCAGCTAACACTAAGCTGTGAGCCCAGTTGGTCCTGGGGTCTTTTCTAGTGGGAGATACTTAAGCACTATGGTAAGCTTTTCTATGATAATTAGACTATGTATAGTTTCCTTATTTTCAGGGTCCTTTTTGTTAATGTATGTTTTTACAAGAAAATTGCCCAGTTCTTCTAGCTTTCCACTTTGATGCAACTGGTTCTCTTATTTGACTTATAACTTCTCCTCTCTTTCTTGTTTTGTATAGCATTCTTAATTCTATCTACTTTTGCACTCTTTTTTCATCATCAA